CTTTCTTAGGGATGAGGCAGAGAAAGGTAGAATTAAGGCCCTTGTTAACAATGGCAGATGAATGGAAGTCCCTGAAAAACTCCATGAGATCTGACTTTACAATTTCCCAACATTTTTGGAAGAAAAGAATAGGGAAGCCATCCGACCCTGGAGCCCTATCACTGTCCATATGCTGAAAATAGTCTTCTTGACTTCTTCCTCTTCAAAACTTCTTTCCAGCCAATCCCTCTTTTCAGCTGAAAGGGTAGTGCCATCCCAATTAAATATTGTGAATTGATTTTCACTATCCTTGGAGTAAAGGTTTTTAAAGAAAGAAAGGAAAGATTMAGAAATTTCCTCAGGATTCTCCACTTCTTTCTGATTAAGATTGAGCTAAATTCTTCCTACTTCTTCCCGAGGCATGGGTGTGAAAAAATCTGGAATTATTGTCCCCTTCTTTCAACCATCTCACTCTTGATCTTTGTCTCCAATAGATCTCTTCCCTTCTAACTAGTTGCTCCCATTCCTTTCTTAATTCTGCTCTTTTGTTTCTGTTTAAGGCATTGAGTGTCCTATTTTGCTCTCTATTGTCCAAGTCCTTTAATTCCGAAAGTATTCTTTTTTTTTTCTCTTCTTCAACAGCTTTAAATTCTTCTCTTCCCCAAGCTTTAAGATTCTTCTTCAAAGCTTTTTGTTTCTGAAGAAGTCTGAATCCAGCCCAACCCTCTACTTTGCAGTCTTCCCACCATGTTGCAACATTTTTTACTGCAATCTGTGTTGTAGCCAGAATTTTTCCAATCTGAATGGGGTCTTTTAATTATTCGTTCGGTGTTCAGCAATATGGGCAAGTGGTCTGAGGTACATCTTGGACGAAGTTCTTGACACAGATTTGGAAATCTCTCCAACCAATCCTGAGATAATAAAAATCTGTCAAGTCTGCAGCTTATGGCATTTTCTTGCATGTTTGACCAGGTAAAAAGTCCATTGGTAAGAGGGAGATCACATAGATTGTCTGTCAATAAAATTAGAGAAATTTCTCATGCTTCTGGTTGGGGTTCTACCATTAGAATGTTCTGAACTGAACCTGGTGACATTGGAATCACACACTAAACACCATGGTATGTCCTCCTCCTCATGCAGGGACTCCAACTCAGCAACCTGGTTGGGGTTCTACCCTATTTGCTAATGTTGTTCATACATTCATCCTAATAAAAGACCTTTCTAAAAGATAATTAAAATTATAAAATCATTTTTTAGGTATTAACTATTAAGAATTTTGAGACCCTAACATGGACTTGTTTGGGCTTTTTCCTCAAGGGGCTTGGTACAAAGACCGCTGGTAGAATTAGGAATGAAAGGTGTAGCATCACATTAACTATTTGAAATAATGCAATTGAGAAAGAAATGAAGAAATTAAAAGTTTGACATGCTTGAATATGTTTTGCATGCTATTATTTTATTTTATTTTTGTAATTTTCACTTTCAATATGTTTTATATGTTATGATTTTGTATTTAAATTTGAGCTAATAGCTCTTTTTAAAACATTAAAAATTAAAGTCTGAACTTTTTATCATTAATACTATTTTAAGATTTTCTTAATTTATTTTGAATTTTTTACATTTTTTGCAATTTTTTGATTTTTTTTTTAAATTTGCACCTTGCACTTTTAAAACACTGTCAGTGCTTTGAAACAAGAGGTGATCAAGTTGTAAGTCCAGTGTTCCGACATCCATTATTGGATAGAGAATTAGATGAATGCGCAGAATTATTTGCCAAGTGAGAAGAAGTCAAGGTGGGTGATTGTAAACCTGGTACCAGGTGATGGAAAAAATATATAAAAAAATCTGTTAAATCTTTTTACAATGCTTTGATGAGAAATCACATAGAGATCAGCAACTTTTCAGGTGTTTAGGGAAATCCAATTCCCCTCAAGTTGAGGCTTTTGTGTGGCTTCTTTATTTGGATAGTATCCTCACAATTGATCACTTGAAGTCAAGGGGATTTCAGATTCCAAACAAATGTATGATGTGCATAACAGCAGGAAGAAGATTCATGCCATTTATTATTTATTGTTGGGTAGTGGTGTTTGTTTGCGGTCTTTCTTCTGCATTATTTAAGGTGTTGTTGGTGTGTCCACTTCATCCTAAGGAGATCTTTCCTAAATGGCAAAGATTAACAGACAGCAGGAAAGCTAAATTTTTTTGAAGCTCCATTCTTTTTGTGGTCTGTTGGGGTGTTTGGAGAGAATGGAACAATAGGATTTTTGAAGACATGACAAGAGAGGAAGTTAGTGGTGGATAATGATCTTAAATTGTTCAGTGGGCTCTTGCTCATTCTGAATTTAAAAATTTGAAAAGAAATGACTTTGGGAAGAAGTTGTTGGAGACAATGTAGTTTTATAGTGTGTAGCTCCTTGATTATGTTTTGTTGTTTGATGTCTTTCTTGTGCTGTTTGGGGATCTTTTGATGTACTGATTTGTGGTGAACTCTTTTGACATGTCTGTATCCATTTTCTTTTTAAATGAAATTCCCCTTTACTATAAAATCCCTAATCCTCCCCAGTTTTATCCTAATTCTTGAGTATCCCTATCAAATGATTCTACTGAACTTTGACCGAATGGGAGAAATATGAAGAATACCTTACAGGATCTTAGGATGTTTAATGTCGCCAAACTAATGGCATGACAGATCAAAACCATCAATATTGAAGCTCATCTTCTAAATATGCTGCCTGTAAATTTTGTGCCCAATCAAAGGTTGGCACATTATCCATAGTTTGATGTCTACTTTCACAAAATTTCAATAGCCAGAAAATTATTGAATGATATGTGTGGCTAAAATTTATGGAGGGATATTTGGTATCTGAGTGATGGTGAACATTTACATGTATTAAAGTAAGCCACAATGAGCATTTTGCTCCAATTTGATTTAAAGTCAAGCTAAATAGGGGCACTGTTAAGATTTTAGCAGAACTTTGATGTTATGCGTAATCATATACCCACAGCAACTAATGCTATAAGTGAAGGGTGATTTTTGTCCTGCCATGCCAGTCAACAAGGGAGGTCAATTTCAATTAAGAAACTTGAGGAGCTATTTTAGTTTTTATAAGAAATCTCAGGGGAAGTTTAAGGATTTTTCCCCCAAAAAAATATGCCTCCATTTATCTTATTGTGTACAGTTGTTTTTCCCGTTGACTATGGGTTCATCTGTAATTGGGAGCTTGTAATGACATGTGAAAACTTCCTGAAAGACTGTTTAGGGCCTCCAATATCCATTTCTACTGTTTCGGGATCTTGGTGGTTTTTGGAATTTAAGTCACATGGAGTCAAGGAGATTCACTAGTTGTGGGACCCATCATGATCATGTAAGTCATGCTCTTGGAGGGCAATCAGGTAATTCAGGAAACCACAAGAGATGTATCCAGGAGGTGTCTTGTTAGTGTTGATGGTGTTCTGAATTTTACTGTTAATTTCTAGGAAACAATAATGTTGCCTAAGTGCGAGCATTTCTTCTGTAAGAGGGCAGCTACAGGACAATCTGAGACCCTGTGAAGTAATGATGTTGCTGTCCAGGATCTAGCCACACAAGCTAAAGCCGACTTACCAGAATGGGAGATGAAACCTGCAACACAATTGATTTTAAACCAACCTTCAGGGGGCAGGGTGGGATCCAATGGCCTGATGGAATAGGAGCTGGTGGAGGCATGGGGAAAGAAACTGGGGGATCGGGGAACACTTGAGATAGAAGGCAAAGAGTGCAGTGCACTGAAAAAGGAGTATCCGGCTTGTTATGGAAGATAAGAAGATTTCAAGCTAACTAGATATTCCAACTGGCTATCCCACTCAAACCACTAGCAGCTGTGAGAGCTCGAGGTCAGCAACTGAAGGGAAAATTTCTGAGCCAATCTTTAGAAGTGATAGTGGAACTGGTAGGAGGGCAAATGCTGAGGGGACTTGCCAACCAAACTGCTCTGGCAAAGTGACAATGAAGGAGCAGATGGCTAACATCTTTGGGAGAGTGTTCACACTGAGGGCAGGAAGGATCAGAGCGAATCTGTCTTCTAGCAAGAGAGGTATTTACCACCGAGGCTTTGTGGACAGCTCACCAAAGCAGTATTAACTTTGTTGGGGGCATTCAGCTTCCAGAGATGCTTCCAGGTTCTCTTGGTGGGATGCAACCTGCATAACCAATGCTCTGTTTGGATAAGCTTTTTCTTTTGAGCTTATGGCTTTTGAAAACAAAATTGAGCCAAAGCGTGCTTTGAACGATCAGTAAGATTTTCTTTTAGAAATATTATAATCTGAAGCCAAAATGCTTTTAAGCCCCAAAGGGGCTTTGTGTTGTTGGTCTTTGAAAGCACAATTCCTGAAGCTTATCGAAATGCAAAATTACCAGGTCATCAAGAGTTCCTTTTTGTGGGCTGGCAAACCTGCAATTGCACCTTGTTGGTTCTCAGAAAGCCTTGTGGAATTGTTTATTTTGGGGGCTTGATAGCTAGACCTGTTCACGGGCCAGGCTGAGCTCGGGCTTCAGTGTGGATCCATTGAAATTTCGGCAAAAGCTAAGGCCGAGCCAGCCCAAGAACAAGTCTATAATCTATTGATAGCCTGTTTGCCCTTGCCAAGCAGCTTGATTCATAGTTGGACCTATCCAGGTTCTGTATATACAAGGTGACATGGTAAAGGTCAAAAGATCAAAATGTCTATCTGATTTTATGAATCAAGGATTCACTCCCATGCATTTACAAACCTTGTATGAGTTTCCCTACATTTCCTTTCCTTTTCCCACCTTTTCCTTAAAACCAAACGTGGGCTCAAAGAATCATTCTTCCTGGGAATCCTTTCCCTTCGGTTTCTTTGTGAAAATCTTATTTTGACTGAAATAACTGGAATCAGTACATTTGAACAGTTTGAAATTTTGAATTATTTGATGTTTATGCAAACATGACTGGCTCTTTTTTTTTTTTTTGGCTCATTGTCTGTCCAATGTTGCTTTATTGACGTAATGTTACTTTGTATTGTTTTTATTTTTGTGTGATTGGATAACAGATACGATCGTGCAAGGGGGGTCGAAATTGGAAATAAGGACATTAAGCTAGAGTATCTGGAAGAGGCTTTCACGACGTCCAACTGGATTGTTCGAATTTACAAGGTCAAGTCACCTAGTAATAGGTGGTGAGATACATATAATTTTCTCATTTCTCTCACTGATGTATTAGGCGGGACAGGAGGAGAATGCTGTAGATGTATTGAGCTCTAATTTTGGAATAATTTATGTTCTAGACTTCTAGCAACAGTTTTAGGAAGACAAATGAACCACACTTGGCCAGGTAAGGCAGCTCTTTTTTTCTGTTAAAATGCCCGAAAAGAACAAGTTGCTAGCTATTTATTACTGTCATTGTCGTCCCTTGGCATCATCTATTGGCATTTTCCCTAGGAACAGCAGCTATTGGATTTTCTTAGGGCTGCAAATAGGTCGAGTCAAATTTGGGTAGAGGGATATATCTGGCATTCAATTTGGTTGGTAAGAATCCGGGATATCCAAATTTGAAATTTGATTTGACATCCAATGGAACTGTGAGACAGGCTTGAATTAGGTAGGGGTGTTTATCCGAAGGAAAAGCCATGAAGGCTAAGGCTAGTTTTCATTCATGAGCTCAGTTTTACAATCTACATCTCTTTAGGGGCAATATCATTCAAAACAGAAGGAGAAGCAAACTGGCCAATAAACTGGGACTAGTTCACCAGTTCGTTTGGATCTGCTGATTTACCAGTTTTAGGGCTTGCACAAAGCGGCCAATAAATTGGTTTATGGTTTTTTTGTCCAACCGGCTGGTCTTGTCTGGTTATCTGAACACTGGTATTGAGTATAATCTCAATTCTCACATCAGTTTTCACTTCCAACTTAGACCGGTGATAAGTAAATGGCTCGATGCCGTAAAGTTGACATCTTTTCATAAATGGGAGTAATTCATTGGTGGTTCTAAAATGTAAGCGATTCCTCTTATGCTATTTGATTGTCTAGTCATCTTAGGCTCCTTATCTTTCATATTATACTGGGGATCACTTCATTTTACTTCTTATTTGTTTCTCACAAATAAATAAGACAGTCAAATTTGCACTCCCATGCATTTACACCAGTGCAAAAACAAACAAGCTGAGCCTATGGAAAAATCTTCAAACCAGTTGTGCAAAGAATAATCAAGCAAGAGACATGTAAAGTTATAAAGGTGCCCAAGAAAGGTTTTAATAACCAAAAAAAAGTGAAGCAAATCAAAGAAAGCCAAGATAAAGAGTATCATCAAGCATTTGGAAGAGCTCGAGAGATCAACTTTAACAAGTCATTTGAGAAGTAGGCTCAATCTGTATGTAAACACATTAAAATAGCAAGTCACCGTTGAAGCAATCTAGGCCGAGGCCAAGTAATCGTGGAATCCCACCAGTGTCTTACCAATCAATAATATACATACAAGATTTTTCATAAGGCCCCATTTGTTTTTTTCAGATCTGAAGGGGGAAAATCAGTCAATGTGATTGCAATTCTCATTGACCACTTTTCCCATGTTCATTTTTCATATTCATGCAAAACCCGCAGAAAAATATCTTTAAGTATCATTTACCCAAGTAAGTAACTTTTCAACTTGAGAAAAAAATTGACAAAAAATGAATAATTTTACCCATTCTAAGAAGTCATTGTATAGCTTACTTGAAAATCAAATGAACATAAATGGATGGAGCAGATCTGGACAAGGGAAATGGTTACAATGGCTTATTGGGACCAGATCTGAACTCAGAGACATGGGTTGAACACATTATTAGCCACAATCAAGGTTCAAAGTATTGATGCACTCTCGATACTCAAAAATTGATATCAAGTGTTTCATCGACACGCATTTTTTACATTTTATAATTTATAATCTGCAAATCATCATCATGTGACATGATCCATATCAATAATTTGAACCTTGACTAATTCAAAATCAGATATCTAGGTATCTATTCCAAGATTAACGTTGGAATTCTAGGATTAAAACCATATGGAAATTATTCTTCCGACATTGCGGATGTTGTCAAATTAAACACCACCAAAATCCAAACGGGAGCTATAGAATTTTCTCATATATGTTCAAATTTGGAAGAAATGCGATGGCATGCCCCACATATATTGGAAATGCTTATTCACACTGATAAAGAAAACATATTAGACAATAAACCTCTATCTTCATATGGAACCTATCAATTATGTTTGTTTTTCTTATGTGAGACCCGCCGATTCTTTTTATAAAAAATTCTCATGTGTGTCCAAATTTTATAAAACAATGTCGAATGGGACCCGCAAATGCATTTCTCAAAATTTCTCTATTTCTATTGTAGAATTTATGTTTCTCATTATATTGAAACAAACAACATTCTTCATTTCTTCCAAAAGAAAGCTTCAGCCTAAAAGAAATGGCAAGGCAAGGTAGATGACTGTGTGTGTCTCAATCAGCTATAAAACAAACTGTTCAATTGCTGTGTGTCTCAAACTGAAACTGCCTAAGAGCAACCCCAGTGCCTAAAAGAAAGCTTCAGCTATGTGTTTGTCAAACTGTTCAATTGCTGAGCAGATGAGTATAAAACAAACAACTCTTTCAGAGAAAAGACTAGCTAAGATCAGAAAATTAGATTCATCATATTTTATGTAGGTAAGCAAGCATCCAATTCAGGCATGGCCCACAATAAACCTAATAACAATCGACTAAACCATTTTTAGAGCTACCAAAAGATGCATTGGCCAACTGTCAAAGACGTCAAGCCAGTGCCTGTGTTATCAGTTATCAATTATCCCATCCATGAGTTGCTCGTGCATCCCAAATCTAGCCACTTGCACAAGCCAAGTGTTGGGGCTCGGGATGGGCTGAAGACAACACAGTTAATTCGCTCTTAAGCTGAGGTGTCCGAGGTGGTCGAGGACTAGTAGGTTGGTCCTACAAAGAGGAGAATGTCAGAGATCCCGGGTGAAAATCTGAGGCGGAGACTCCAACAGTCAAGTTAGTATTAGGAGGGGTATAAGGTGGATGAGGTCTGAGGTTCAGACGAGGCCACCGGAGTTCTCAAGTACTAGCTAGAGAGTTTAAGTTCCAATCCTTTACCTAGGGGGTTCATCTTCTATTTATACTTGAGGCCGCCTGGAAGTAGGTGAGCTCGGACGGTCCGGATGCAGTCCATATGCGAGGAATGCAGCCATCCGAGGCCGCCAGATGACTCCGTGCCATTGACTCTGCAAAACCCGTCGAACTCTGTTCTGCACGCACCCTGATTGGATCCACTTTGAACTGTGCCACTTGACACGTGTAAGCCCACCATAGGACGAGACCATGTGCGCCTACATCACTAAGAAACAGGTCTATATGGTGTTTCAACCAATTGTCAGAAGCTCTTTGAGAAACTCCAGCTTCTTAGAAAAGATCTTTGTTTCAATCGGGAAACTAGAAGGGAAGCCAACGGGAATTAACGTTATCTATAAAGCGACCAGAGAGGGTGGCACAGAATATAAAATAATGGCCATATACTTGCTCAAAAAATCACCCCACATAGTGGAAACTTGCAAATAATATCAATGTACATCTTTACCAAGTTAAAGTCAATTCAATGGACTTTATGCTACAGGGTTATTATAATGTGTTTTAAAACGTAGATGTTACAACTTACAAGTGCAGCTTTAATGGATACAGTAATAACAAAAACCAAGATATGGGAAGTGAAAAGGAAGAAAAACTTCTTATATGGTGAGGTGAGGACATTGTACTTTCTTTTTTCTGACTAGACTTTTGAATAAAACCATTTTCTTCCTCACTAGCATTAACTCATCAGCAAATATGAAACCTAATGCGCACAAATCTTGGAAAACTTGAGCTAAAATTATCGCGTAAGAATGGCTTTGAAATTGTTCCTGTAGTCAAGAAACTATACATTTTGCTTAAATTTTAAAAATGTGAAAACCCACATGTGAAAGCAATTGCTCAAACCAGAGATTGATAGCTTTCTGTTCATTATTTGGTGCGGTTTGTAATTAGGGGTGGATTCGAGCTGCGCCAAGCTGAATACTTGACTATTCAAGCTCAGCTCGTAAAAATACTGTTAGGCTTGAGCTCAGCTCAGCTCAAAAGTTCGCAAGTTCGAACTCATCTCGTCTCGAGCTTGACTGCAAGCCAAGATTTTTCTAAAAAATAATATTATACATATAAAAATATTTTTTATTTTATATACAAAAAAATTAAGAATTATATATATATATAATAAAAATTATTTATTTACTATACTAGGCTCGATTAACAAAGGAGCCTATATATCGGGCTTGAGTTCAACTCAAACTCGATTTAAACCGAGCCTATATTGCTCCTTCTAATTTACCCTCTAGGTTTGGTTGGAACCTAAGCCTGAGAAGAGGTGTTAGAGACACAAAGTTTGTCTATACCATAGCCTTACTTTCTATCCTTGAAGGGGTCTTTATTGATCCATCTAAAGCAGATAGCAGAATCTGAACACTCACTTCCTCAGGCTCTTATACTTGTGCCTCCTTTTTCAAAGCACTATTACCCTCTCATCCCGCTAGCTTTTCTTTTCCTGTTAAAGAAGTGTAGTGTCAATCTATACCTCCTAAGGTTGGGAAGCATTCCTAAGAAGAGTTAATACAGGGGATCTACTCTAAAGGAAAAGACCCAACAGTTGTTTGTCTCCTCATTGGTGTGTTCTCTGTAAGTTTGACAGTGGGTCCATATATCACTTACTAATTTCTTGTAGGTTTGTTAAAGCTATTTGCGTATGGTTTACTTTTTTGTTTGGATGCAAGTAGACCCCCCCCCCTTGAATGTTCAAAGCTTGTTTTCTTCCATGCCTAATTGTCCAACTAAAAGGGCTAAAATCATGTGGAGGTGTGGTAGAGTTGCAGTATGTTGGACAGTGTGGGAGGAGAGGAACTCAAGGATCTTCTCAAGTAAAGAGAGAGGTATGGAAGAAATTATAGAGAGCATTCACATTAGAATGACGCAATGGTTGAGAACATTAGAGCTGTTCAAAGTGTTTTCAGTTGATGAGTTGTTAAGGAATTGGAAGGAGATTGCAAATTCAGGCCTATGTAAAAAGTTATCAAAAGCTTGCTAGAATCCACCACCTATTGGATTCACCAAACTGAATTTTGATGGTAGCGGCATAGGCAACCCAGGGCCTTCTAGAATTGGAGGTGTGATAAGGGATGAAACAGGGAACGTGTTAGCCATGTGCTCTGGGCCGATTGGGGTGGGAGATTCATTAAGGACTGAGATTCTTGGAGCTATTAAAGGAATTCAAAAGATCAAGGAAATGAAGATAAAAAAGGTGGTTATAGAAGGTGATTGCAATGGTGGTGAAATGGCTAACAGAGGACAGTGCTATGATG